AAACCCAGGCATTGTGTTATCAGGTTTTCATTATCGGAGGAAAAACCAATTATGATTCCTACTAATGTTACAGTTATACTAATAACATTATATTTAATAGAAAAACTCTGTAACTGCTCTCACAGTGAATAATTTGACTGAGATTTTAACTTTAATGTTCCGTGCAGCACATGACAGCAATGGGAAGCTTGGACCACATCAATGTGGTCAGGGTCCTGGGTATTTGCCCCGGCGCCAGTCTGCAGCTGGTCACCCAGCTCAGCAATCAGGGCTCCCTGCTGGAGCACGTGAAGAACTGCAGGAACAACCTCAGCCCACAGAGGCTGCTCAACTGGTGTGTTCAGATAGCAAAGGTAAAGTCCACTCCTCTGTGTGTGTCCACTCAGTAAGACATGGTCTGTTTTGCCTTTTACTAAAGCCAGTCCTTCTACTTGTCCTCAGGGCATGTACTACCTGGAGGAGAACATGATGGTCCACAGGAACCTCGCTGCCAGAAATGTTCTCCTGAAGAGTAATTACACCGTTCAGATCTCCGACTATGGCATCGCAGACCTGCTGTATCCTGACGACAAGAAGTACTTCTGCAATGAGGTCAAGGTCAGTTTCACTGCACAGATATACACACAGATCAATCAAGCTGAAGTTGAAGTGCATTAGCTGAGGTGTTTCCAACATCTACATTTCCTTTTCTTACATTTTTAGACACCGATCAAATGGATGGCCCTGGAGAGCATCCTGTTCAGAAGATACACACACCAGAGTGATGTTTGGAGTTACGGTAGGTTCTGAACTGCAGTGAGAGTCAGTGTTAAGCACAACAATTGCCTCTTTTTTTCCCTCATTCATCGGTTCTGGTCATTTAGGCGTCACTGTATGGGAGATGATGTCATACGGAGCAGAACCGTACGCAAACATGCGTCCACAGGAAGTGCCTGATCTCCTGGAAAAGGGCGAGCGTCTGTCCCAGCCTCAGATTTGTACCATAGACGTCTACATGGTCATGGTCAAGTGTGAGTGTTTCTCTACCTTGCTTTCTTTAGTATTCAGGATGGCGTTTAACTGCAGGTTTTCAGTTTTTTTTAAAGAATCTCAGCTCAAAGGCAATGTCTCTGTCTGTGATACAAGATACCCGGGTTTGAATCCAGGTGGCAATTGTGACCTTTAAAAAAAAAAAAAAAAAAAAAAAAGTCTCTTTGCCTGTTCCATAGTGTAGCGGTTAGCATGCCTGCCTCGCAAACAGAGAATCGTAGGTTTGATTCCCAGAGGAACCACATGTTGTCTGTTGCAGCAGATCTGTTGTAAACATTGGGATCAATAAAGTTCGACCACATGTTGTCTGTTGCAGCAGATCCGTTGTAAACATTGGGATCAATAAAGTTCAAATGATTATTTACTTATAATTATGAACCAAATATTGTTCCAAATTTGCAGGTTGGATGATTGACGAGAACGTTCGTCCCACGTTCAAAGAGCTGGCGAGTGAGTTCACCAGGATGGCCAGAGATCCACCTCGCTACCTGGTGATCAAGGTAAGAGCCAAACCAGTTCATGGCTGTGGTCAAACTGTACGGACAGACAGTGCAGCGTACTCAGTCTGAGTGTCGATCACCAGGAGGACTGCAGCCAACAGGACGCAGCCGTCGATGAAGTTCCACAGAAGAGTGTAGATCTGGAAGATCTGGACGATCTGGACCTTGAGCTGAAGGACCAGGAGGATGACCAGGTTGATGACGGCATCGCCTCAGGATCATACTACCTGTCCCAGTCCAGAAGCATCAGTCATCTCTCCAGACTGGACACACACAGAGTAAGAGACATGAGGGACAGTTCTACACCATATATATCTACATGTAAATCAGTCAAAGGTTTTTTATTTAAATGTGATGATTCCACTTTTTTTAAGGTGGTTCTCAGTCCAGCTAGTGCAGGTGGATATCTGCCCATGACCCCAGGTTTTGACAACCCAACACAGGTAGCTACCACAGGCTTTGGGGTTAAAAAAAAAAAAGGGTCATAAAAAATCCCTCCTCCTCCTGGTAATACTCTTGTGTTCATGATGTCACCTCCAGGCTATGTGGTCGCCACGCTCTCGACTGGACTCGGCGCGCACCGTGTCAGAGAGCTCAGAGGCCTGCAGCATAGCAGTGGACCTGGAGATGAACGAGGACTTCCTCGTGGCAGGGAGTCTGAAAAGACGCCACAGAGAGGACAGCGCATACATGTCACAGAGGGACAGCATGTCCGGGGGTCCCCCGGAGACCCCGTCCCCGGATATTGGGGAAGAGGACCAAAATGGTTATGTGCTTCCTGGAGACAGCCCAGAAAGAGGTGATTACTTAAATGATTTAAACTGGTACAATTAGAGAAAAGTCAAAATGTCAGCTGAAAACAACGACAGTGTCTTCCCAACATTCTGTTTCTCCCCAGTGATGTAATGATATCTTTAATTTTAATTAAAAAAACATTATTACATCACCATATCCACTCACTTTTTTTTTTTTTTTTACAGAAACGTTGCTTTGTTCATCTCGGGCCGGTGCCGGCAAATCAACGAGGTCTCAGCTGTTGAACCTCCTGGATGATGCAGATGATGAAGAATACGAGTACATGAACAAGCAGACACCTGTGGTGCCACGGAACAGTAGTCAGGGGTCGAAAACAAACTCGAAACAAAGTTCCACTGCAGGGTCACAGTCCTGCCCTGGTGATCCAGCGCCACCTGCAGACCTCAGGGAGGGTCAGACGAGCCTCCCTGATTCAGAACAGACCGCCTCCGACTGTGTTGAGTACGAATACATGGACATCCGAGGTAGTGAGCAAGATGACGGTCCTCCGGCACATGAACCTCCTCCTCCTCCTCCTCCTCCTCCTCCTCCTGTTCCTCTTCCTCCACCAGCATCTGCGAGGATTGGAGGACAGTTGGAGGATGAAGATGATGATGAATATGTGGAGGACAGTAACTACCACTACACCAACAGACAACCCAAGCTGAGACAAGCTCTTCAGGACAAAAAAGAGTTGAAGATACAGGGAGTGGAAGGAGGTGCGGCCTACGAGTACGAGGACATGGACAGCCTTGCTGCGGTGCGACTCGGAGACACGGTGGTGTACCAGAACATGAACAGTGTAGGAGAAGCAGCCGCAGGACCGCCATCAGGATCTGGGTTTGAACCCTATGTACAAGTGAGAGCTGGGGTCAGAATTGGCGACGCCGAAGCCGCGGACAGATCCTTTGATAACCCAGACTACTGGCACAGCAGAAATTTCCTGAAGCCAAATGCGGTGCCAACATGAGGAACGTGATAAATGAAATGGACTTCCCTCTGACATTTTTCTTGTGAAGGAACTAAAACAGAAAAATGCCACACAAAAAGTGCCTTTACTGTAGCCAACAAAAGTAAAACGGAATCAACCCCATCAACTGTAGCTAAGTGGTCTGTTACAGACATTATAATGTTGTGTATGCAGGACTATGAATCGGGGCATTTTGATCTACACAGTAATGGCACTGAACCTTGAAGAGACTAAGACACATGCACAGGTTAAAAGCTATATATTTTTCTGTTTACATTGAACACAAGGAACGAGGCATATTGTTAAGAACACTTAACGTATTTGTTTGTATTGGTTCCAGTTTCCATTCCTTATGTATTTTCTACCTAATAAATGTATTTTAATACAATTGTGGGATTGTCTCTTCAAATGAATAATGGATCAAAAATATTGTCTATGGTTTGGTTTAATGTATGTGTGTGTGTTTATATATATATATATATATATATATATATATATATATGCAAATGCATGTTGTGTTGCACTTGCAGTGATATTTTGAGCGTGTGGCCAACAGTCAATGTGTACCCTCAAATTAAAGAGACAATATTGTATGTCATATGTCACTTGCTTTTTGGCGGGTTCGGTAGTTGTGACGTAACGGGGTGATTTGGGAGGTGGGAGGGACTTGGAGGACAGTGAGAGCCGGGCACCAGCACCAGCAGCACCACCACCACCAGCAGTAGTCGTCGTAACCGCAGCGGTAGTAACGGTCAACAGGGTCAGAGCCGAAGAGTAGCTGCGGGGAACTGTGGTTGTACGGAGCCGAGTGGAGACCGAAACTTCACTGCCAACATGTCCGACGACGAGCAGGAGCAGACCGTTGCCGAGGACCTGGTAGTCACCAAGTACAAGATGGGGGGTGACATCGCCAACCGTAAGTCTGTGTTCTTGAACTGATGAAATAACGCGTTGTTATCCGCCTGGGGTGCAGCTGCCTTCAATGTTGCCGTCGCCGCCTTGTGGTTTACGTGCGACACACGCGCTCACAATTCCACACGTACACATTTTTAGACACTACACCCGGGTTAGTGACAGCAGGTGCAGCTGCCTGTTTTTTTTTTTTTTTTTTATTCCGTTAGCTCCGTAGAAAAGTCCGTCTCCTCGTTGTTACCGTGTGTAATAAACTGTCCAGCCAACTCGGTTTGTCCTTTATTTAAGTCAGAAACAACAAATATAAAGACATGAAAATAAATGGCTTTATTTTATTGTGACGAATTGCCATTGTAATGACAGATGTAGAGGGAAAATCTGTAGAGTGTGACTTAAATACTGTACAACCCCCGAACATTTCTGCGTACTGTTGTCATCCATTTAAAAACCATTGTAAATAGTTAATATAACTCTGGTTAGTGAAGTAGTGGGTAAACAATTACATGTCAGTTACAGGGAAAATATAACAGACGTTTGTGTTAGTATTAGTAAACTCCTATAAATAAAAACTGAAAACTGTGTGGTCGATTTTGCTAACTAGCATTGCTATCACAGAATTAAACAAAAACAATTGTTCTGGACTTAAAATTGAATGGAATTCTGAACTAAAAAAGGAATAGGAATTCCTGCACACTAAAACTCTAATGTGTACTGTATGAGAACGTTCTAAGTAGAAATTCAAAATTGAATATCAAATAAAAATATTTACTTACTTACTTCTTTGTATTGTTTGTTTGTTTGTTTGTTTGTTTGTTTCCTTCCTCAGAGGCCCTGCGACTGGTTGTAGGGGCAGCTAAACCCGGGCTTTCTGTCCTCAGTCTGTGTGAGATGGGAGACGCCTACATCATGACTGAAACAGGAAAAGTTTTCAAAAAGGAAAAGGAAATGAAGAAAGGTAAGAGAAGGTGGATGTGTGGGAAAACTAATGGGTTTTTTAGTGCAAAATTGTATTAGGTACTACATCTTACCTCTGAAAATGTTTAACACTCCAAATACCATAAGAAGGTCAAACAAATAATAAATCACCACCCCTGGCACGTGTGCCATATATTAAGAAACCAGTGTGCAAAATGTTACTCCATCGTTTCCATGCTGAGAGCTTTTCTCACTGTATCTGAATAGATACATATTGAAGACTTGCTGGTTCTGTCTGTCCCTCTTTTAGGCATTGCCTTTCCCACCAGCATCTCCGTCAATAACTGTGTTTGCCACTTCTCTCCTTTGAAGAGTGACCCCGACTGCACACTCAAAGATGGGGATCTGGTCAAAATGTAGGCACCATGATCTGTACCGCTGTCCCTCCCTTCTTCTCCTCTGTGTTTGGAGTCGCTCAGTGTGTCGCCCCTCCCTTCTGTCGGTGTCGTGTCTCAGCTTTTGTCTCAGTCTTTTCTCCTTGTGCTTCGTCTAAAGTCTTATCTTCCTGCCTGTTGACAAATAAGTGTGTCGTCGAGTTGTTGTGCTACCATGGAAGTCTTTGTCCTTTAAATATTTAACTGTTGTGTCTCAGTGTTATGTTGTTGTTGCTCAGTGTTGGTTTGCATGACTTTGTTGTTTCGTTACGAGTCCTTCACTGTCTTCACAGTTGATGCATCAGCACAAGATGAAAAAAAACAGATGTTGGTTCTATTTTGCTGTTTAATGCTCTTAAGTTGTCTTTGTCTGACCTTCGCATTTTGTTTTTTAATTTTATGAGTTTAATTTTTTTAAGTGGATTGTGGTTGATGTTTTTTTTTTTTTTTCTGTAGCAAATTTGATTTGGCTGGGCCCTAGCCATTAGTAAATGTGGCTGCCAGTTTAAATTATAGTTAGGTTGACAACAGAACAAAAACGTTTTTTTTTCTATTTAATGTCTGGTTCATATATTCTCCTTTTCTTCTTGGTTTTTGTAGAGACCTGGGGGTCCATGTTGATGGCTTCATTGCCAACGTGGCTCACAGTTTTGTTGTGGGAGCCACCAAGGTACGGGCTGTGTCCACTCCTGTGGTCATCGATTTACTGCAACAGAACTTGAATGTAGTGGAAACATGTGTGAATGTCCCTTTTGTCTCCGTCCATATCCAAACACATTTTAACCCTAAAACTAATGACACGTTTCAGAGAATGTAATAATTCACATGTATCCTGACAAAATAAGAACACATGCTAAATGTAATTTTAACACAAGTGTGGGATCAACAAAGTTCAAATTCTTATTATTATTAATTTAGAACAAGTTTGTGTTCAAACAATTACAATCAATCCAGCAATACTATTTAATTTTAAAAATACATCACTAGTGTAGGGTTGTCTAACAGTTCGTCTCCTGTGTTTTTTTAAAAATACATCACTAGTGTAGCGTTGTCTAACAGTTCGTCTCCTGTGTTTCCTGTAGGAGGCGCCTGTCACCGGCCGTAAGGCTGATGTCATCAAGGCGGCCCACCTCTGTGCAGAAGCAGCTCTTCGACTGGTTAAACCTGGGAACCAGGTGAATTCAAACACATTCTGTCTGTGTCAAAGTTCATGGATTTAATATTAGAATCAAATTAAACCTCTGGTTATGACGCTGTTTGCTGCTTTAAGAAATCTAGCCTTTTGTTTGTCTCTTGTCTTGTCAGAACTTTCAGGTGACAGAGGCCTGGAATAAGATTGCCAAGGAATTCAAATGCTCACCTATTGAGGGTGAGTCTGTCCAGAGTGTGTGAATTAATGTGGTAACGTTTTTTTCTGTTCCTACATTTTACACTTTAGTGTCAATTAATTTACTAAAAGAAAGTGCATATTGGTGTTTGCATGGAAGTGTTGTTTAATAACTTTTACTTTCTCAACGTTATATTTGCAGGTATGCTGTCTCATCAGCTGAAACAGCACATCATCGACGGTGAGAAGACCATCATACAAAACCCCACAGACCAGCAGAGGTGAGAGACCGGTGTCTTAGTTTTGCGTTCACCAGGGATGGAGGGCCTGATGTAGACTGGTGTCTTTTTTTTATGGTTAAAATGTTTTAGATGATATCAACGAACTAAACTGGCTGTTGGTTGACATCTCAGGAAGGACCATGAAAAGACTGATTTTGAGGTTCATGAAGTCTATGCTGTGGACGTCTTGATCAGCACTGGAGAAGGAAAGGTCTGTGTCCTGGTGGACTTGAACCTCCATCCATGTTCCTTCACCTCCATTTCACCTCCTGTGTCTGTTTAGGTTTAGTTTATATCAGTCATAGTGACTATGACAGTTCTCTGCTTAAAGTCACAAATAACTGCTGTGGACATGTAATGATATAATTAACAAACACAGTGGGAGAAGTGGTTCACCATGCCTGCCCTTCTCCACCTTTTCAGATAGATCTGTTGTTGAGCCTCTGACCCGTTCACAGCTATTGCTTCAAAACTCCACTGAACCTTATTTAATAATAAATCCCTCTTTCTTTTTCTAACAAAAAAAACCCCCAAATCATCGTCTGACAGCATTTCAATTCCCCAAGGGTTTCCTGTTGTATCTGTTGTATGCTTCAGTTTTAACTCTCTCTGTTTACTTACTTTTTTTATCCTCCTGTCAAAACCATAAAGGCCAGAGATGGGGGTTTGAGGACCACCATTTACAAGAGGGACCCCAGTAAGCAGTATGGCTTAAAAATGAAAACTTCCCGCTCCTTCTTCAGTGAAGTGGAACGACGCTTCAGTGCAATGCCGTTCACTCTGAGGTGTGAACGTCTCACAGTGCCTTTACACCAATCCAACCCCTTACTGTTCTGTCCCTTACCTTGGCGCTTCAGTTAAATGGTCAATATGGTTATGACAAGACCAATTTTTGTATCCTCAAATTTTGCATCTGATCAGAAAAAGTAATGGTTTACACTCTACCCTTCTCCATCAGGGCATTTGAGGATGAAGCCAAAGCCCGTCTAGGTGTGGTGGAATGTGCCAAACACGAACTGTTACAGCCCTTCAGCGTCCTGCAGGAGAAAGAAGGCGAGTGTTTGTGAGTCACACCTCCTCTGTTATTAATCTTCACTTATTCACCGCCCCACTCTCTTTCTGCTCTCAGGAGAGTTTGTAGCCCAGTTCAAGTTCACAGTGCTGCTCATGGCCAACGGGCCTCACAGAATCACCAGCGGACCCCTGGATCTTGAGCTCTACAAGTCGGAGCACGAAGTCCAGGACCCAGAACTCAGGGTAAACTAATGAATGTTTGTCCCACTGCTTCATGATGCACAGGAAATGGCTCCACGGTGCGATGGTGTAATTCATTTTAATCGTACTGTTGTGTCGTCTTTTCCATAGGCTTTGCTACAGAGCTCCGCAAGTCGTAAATCGCAGAAGAAAAAGAAGAAGAAGGTACATCTCCAAGTCTAACTAACGATGTTGAACTGACATCGAAACATAACTCAATATTTGATCTGACTCAGTCCTACCATTTGTCATCCAGTTTACAACTTTGGAATATAACATGACATTCTGAAAATAAATAGTTCTATTGTCAAAAGACAAAAAAAAAGGATTTTCTGAAGAACAAACTAGAACCAAAGTGATGCTTCATTTAATATTTGTTCTGATTAACCCGATCTGTCTCCACCTTTTCTTTCCCTGTAGGCCTCAAAGACGGTAGTAAATGCGACAGGACAGCCAGCCGAGGGCACAGAAGCAGCTGGATAAAGAAAAGGGGAAAAACAACAACAATAATGAATAATTCAGGACTGACTTTAACACACACAAAGTCCAACGGAGAGGCAACAGAAAATCAACAATTTTCCCTCCGTTTTTTTTGGCCAATTGGCCGGTGTTTCGGACTGAACTGAACAATTCAGATGAACTTTAAAATCAGTTAAAAGATGAAGGATCTTATATTTACAACTGACTGCTGTGCTGTGAACATGTTTGTTTGTTTTTAACTTGGATAATAACATTGTTTTAATGTCTTTAAAACAATGATTTACCACAAAGTAAATTTGTTGCAACTTAGGGGTTTGGAATCTGTCGACCTCAATGAGAAAAATAATAATAATAATCATTATTAAGTACTTGTTTCTTTTTTATTATTAAAGAATACTATGTGATTTTTTTTTAATTGCAGGGTTCACTGCATTATCACAACTGAACAACACAAACAAAGGGTTCACTGATGTGCTACAAATGAAAATAAAACATGAAATACATTTAATAACGATTCTTAGGTCAACACTAAAGCTCCAGGACCACAAAATGACCACATTTCTTTTATTCAAATTGTAATATTTTATTCATAACAGATGATACATGACCACATTTCTTTTAATGAAATTGTAATATTTTATTCATAACAGATTAACTTTTTAGGTAAGGACTCCAAGGTATTAAAGTTAAGGTGGCATGTGTTGAGACTTTAAAGGAACAAACTGCTACATTTACTGCCATTCCCCTGGGACCCTTTCAAAGTAAAACAGATGAACTGACTTTTAGGTCTGTCTTTGTGAAACCTTTAACTTGTTTTTCTCATCTGTAGTCTGGTGAAACCTGAGAACTGACGCAGAGCTTTTACATGATTAAAAACTGGACCACTTCACAGATTCATTTAGGGTCTGGAGTTTTAACGAAAGTGTTAAACCACATTTGTTAACAGTTGCAAATGTTGGGGAAAATAAAACTTTGCTGCTCCCTCTGGGATGAGTGGATCTTTACATTAATAAAATGATAGATTATTCAATTATCTGTCAATGATTTGTGTCAGAGTTTTCAATTCACTGCGACACAGTTTTACATGTTTGAGTCGACTCAGTGACGGTGATAAAGATAAAGAAGGCGTTAGATCAAAATCAGTGAATACTTACCTAATATTATCATAAATTACCCAAAGACTCCATTAATATGGAATTTGATGATGGAATCTTAATAAAAAATGTCAAAAGAACAAATTATTAGTAACACTACTTGAGGGATTATGGATATAATAGTGTTAAAATAAGGCCAAAATAATAGAGATCAGTGACATCATGAGGGGATTATCCCAAAAACTGGTACATGGATTGAAAGGGATTTATTTGATTACAATAAATTAACACAGTAAACAAACAAAATGGCGGTATCATCGCAAATGAAGTTCAAATTGAAACATATGAGGTATTTACTACATGAAAACATTTAGAAATTGCACAACAATATTTAATTAACAAAATAATATGGTGTAATTAAATAATTATGAGGTTAACTAGGTGAATATTAAGCTCGATACATTCACGTTAATCAATGAACCCAGATAGAAAAGAACGGTTTGTAAGTTAACTACATTACCCATAAAGGACAAACGTGCGATGACGTCAGAAATGTTATAAATATTGCTGTATTCCTTCGTCACATCCTCTTTCCGTTGCTCTTTTCGCTTTGAGGTAAAGAAGAATTTTGTCCTCGACTATATCCAAAATAATCCAAACATTTCCTTTGTCATCCACAGTTTCTTATAATCGTATCTGCTTGTTTTTACAGAAATCTCTCCACACGATGAGAGCCAAGGTACCGTGAGTTGTCGCCGTCTTTTAATGTTGCTGTATTTGTTCTCTGTTGCTGGTGTTAGCACCCGGTGCTGCATAGGAGCACGAGATTAAAACGCTTTCACAACATACACTGATCTCTAAGTGTATATTATTACATCTGTCCACATCTCTATTTCCAATGTCTTTAATATCGTTGGTTGTTTGTGAAGCCTTACTTTTATATATATATGTATACAGTAGCGGGAATGCTAACAATGCTAACTACGGCCCTGTTTTCGGCATGCTGCAGTGTTCGCATTGGCACATTTCAGCTCACATGTAGCTGCAAACTAAAAATGTATTTCAAGATTTGTAATTGAAAATATAGGAATTCCCAAATTAAATCTTAGTGCAATTGTTATAAATATAACAACTTAATGTAACGAACGTTTGCCACTCAAGTGCATTAAGTGCATTGTCAATTAACAATATTATAAATTGAAAACGTTTGAGTTCATCTTAGAAACATTACCACACAATTTTTATTATAGCCTTATATGCATAGATTTTTTTTTCTAAATGTTTGACTAATTTCAAGCTTCACCACTAGGCTACTTTTAATTGATACGATTTTTCTTTTTCAGTGGAGGAAGAAGCGTATGCGCAGGTAAGAATTACTGGTCCATTTGGGTGTAATTGTTTATGTTTGACAGATGTGTAAAGGTAGTGGTGCATTTATTTAATTATTGTTTGACAGATGTGTAAAGGTAGTAGTCATTTATTTAATTATCAAGCAGCAAAGAAGGTTCATGCTGTTTGTTGCTACTTGAAATGTTGATAACTGAATATTGTTTATCTTGTTTTTAGTGTAATGCAAGATAGACATGTATTTAGATTTTATCATCATTCTGCTTAT